TGGCCACGGGCTCGCTGCAGGTGAGGAGGGCCAAGGAGGAGGGCGTGCCTGCCGGGGGGCAGCAGGGGGAGGCTTCCACAATCTTTCCACAGTGCCCAGCCCTGTTCGGCTTCAGGCAGTGTCTTGTAGAGCCTTGCCTTCCTCTGGCTGAGCTGTTGTCCCCCCTGCAGGTGGCAGTGGTGAAGCCGGGTGATTCAGGAGAGGCGCAGGTCCCCTGTGAGGCGCAGGCACGGGAGGAGGGGGCAGAGATGGACTCTGAGGAGCAGGAGCAGCAGAAGTTGGTGACGCTGCACATGGCAGAGCCTGGGGAGACGTTGGTGCAGGAGGCTTACGAGGAGGCAACCCTGAGTGGCTCAGAGCTGCAGCAGATCACTATCCCCTTTGGTGGGACGACAGAGTACAGCATCATCACACCCATCAGTGAGGAGATTCAGGCTCCAGGCACGCTGTACAGGTCAGCTGTGTGGGAGGAGCGGGGAGACAGAGACATTTCTGACCTCAAATGAGGAGGCTTTAGTGGTGAGGAGGATGAGGCAGATTGTCCCTGACCCTGTCCTCTCCAGCAGTGAGGAGGAGAGCCCTGCAGAGACCTCCCACGCGGTTGTAGTGAGCGAAGCTGTGATGACAGAGGAGGCCCTGAAGGACCATAACAATCACTATATCATGTCATCCAGCGTTCCGGGGAGCCAGTTCCATCACATTGAGGTAAGGAGCTGAGCTTTCTCCCCGTCTCGGGCAGCAGTGTGAGCAGGCGTGACTGGGTGTTTCTCTCTCAGCCCCTCAGTGGGGACGCTGCCTTTCCTTCGCCTGTGGAGGGCCAGGAGGCACAGCCCGCCGGCGTCAAGTGGCCCCTGGTGCAGTGTGTCACCAGGCAGCTCCAGAAGGACTCGTCTTTATCCCCAGCCTCCGAGGGGCAGGAAATCTTATCCCCAAAGGTCAAGTGGCCTGCGCTCCAAGGCATGGCCAAGAAGCTCTCTTGCAAGGTTTCCACAGCCAAGAAGCTCTCGTGCAAGATTTCCACAGCCAAAAAGTTTTCATGCAAGATTTGCACAGCCATGTTCACAGGGAGAGCAGAAATGGAGAGTCACAAGAGAGCCCACATTGGGCCCAGCACCTTCAAGTGTCCCGACTGTCCGTTCACTGCAGCCCTCTGGCCGGAGGTTCGGGTAGGTTCCCTGGCACAGAGCAGCCCTGGGAACAAGAGGTTTGGAGAAACGGGGGCTTTCTGACCCTGTGCTTGTCCTTCTGCCCGCAGAACCACATGGTCCAGCATGCCAGCCTTCGGCCGCACAAGTGCACCCACTGCAGCTTCGCCTCCAAGAACAAGAAGGACCTGCGCAGGCACATGCTGACACACACCAACGAGAAGCCCTTTGCCTGCCAGATCTGTGGGCAGAGGTGAGTAAAGCCTGCTAGGTTGTTGCTGCTTTGAGAAATCCTGTAGAGCTCTCCAAGGCTCAAGAGGAGATAGGATATTGGCAGAGAGCTGGCTGCCCTGATCCTACCCCTGGGAGCAGTCCTCTGTTAGAGGGGACTCTGCCCTTGAGAACGGTTTCTGCTGCAGGTGGACACAACTTCGTCTCCAAGGAGCTTCTGCATGGGGAGGTTCAGTACTTGGGCCTGATGGAAGCATTTTGGGAGCTGGGACAGGCCATGTCATAGGACATGCTCGTGGTGCCCACGGCCTGGGTCTCTGCAGAGAGCACAGAGGCCCTGTGCTACCCATGGCAAACTCCACCTCGCCCTCGTTCCTCCCATAGGTTCAACCGTAATGGACACCTCAAGTTCCACATGCAGCGTTTGCACAGCTCAGAGGGGAAGAGGCCAGGCGCGCCTGCAGCTGCTGCCCAGCAGACCATCATACTGAACAGCGATGAGGACACGCTGGCCACCCTGCAGAGTAAGATGTGTCCCTGTGACCGGGGTGACCTGCAGGTTCCCTGTAGCCAGAGCACCATGTGGGGATTCACCCAGTTTGTGGGCTGAGCAGGGCTGAGGTGGG